TGGTGTATTCATAGTGAATGGCAGATTTGATGACTAAAAGTGCAGAAAACGCAATGGAAAATACTCATTTGAGCAGCCATAATGATGAGAATATGTACGGCAATAGCAGCGATGATGTGTTATGTGATAAGGATGAACATCACTTCAAAGATGACACAACCTCATCGATCCAATACCAGAGTTCACCATCAAATCATAGCACTTCGTCATCGCCTTTTTTCTCGTTTCCGTTCTTGAAACGGCGACAAAGTTATACGATTAATCCACCGGATGATACGTACAACGTCACTTACCTTGGAAATGTTCTTACGGTCATGGCTAAAGGTTCCTTTTCAGTTGTTTCTACGTTTTTCATATTTTGTTCCTTTCATCATTCATATGTATTGTGTAAGTTGTTTTGGAAGTATTCTTCATGTATCACCACATTGAAAAGTGCAAAAAGTTGTGTTGAAAGTCAAAAAATCTCGATTCTTTCTCATTATCAATACAATTCACTCTCGTTCATTTCAATTTAACTTAAGCAATGCCAAGCGGTGAATGACGTAAAATAATTCAGTTTATTTGATGGAATAAGTGTGATATCTATCGAATATGATATCTTGTTTTCAACGTTAATCAGCGTTATCATGTTTCTAGGTGAGGGTTGCGTGGAAAAACCTTTGAATTTGATNTTGCTCTGAGATGTTTTGAATGGTTACATTTATTATAGCTTATAACAAGTTTGTGGTTAAAAATTTTACAGTTCATTGCAATCTGTTGAATAACTTATAACTTTTGATTACTTTTTCGTAAGAAATTTTGCACCTTATGGGTTGATTGCCTGTATCATTACATTCACATTTAATTCCAAAAATTTTCGTCTGTTCATTCAACGAAAGTCTTCGAGTGTAAATTTTGATGCATTGAAATTATTGACTTTGGTTTTATGTTTCTGGTTTCAGCTGTGAGATTGGTGAACTTTTTTTTGAATTTCCGACACAAATTCATTTCTCCTTCTGTTTAGGCAGAGACGAAACAGCAAGGACTGACTGAATATTGGGCGCATCGGATAACGTTTTGCTTAGCACCACCCGATTATCCTCGTTTGTTCTGCTGGGTTTATAAGCATGAAGGAAAACGGATGAAACCTGAATTAAGGTAATTTTATCATTATTTATTCACTTCATTGCAACTTTATGAGGATGCATTAACTTATCCATTGGATTTCCACTTTCCATGAGTCAACCACACTAAACATGAAATAAACAACGAAACTTTTCTCGTAAATCAAAAGGCAGTTTAAAGTTTTGCATGTTGCATTCGTCTCGTGAACAAAATTCAAAAGATATTCAACGTTGCGCATTTCCACTCATCGATATTTCTATTTATGTTTTCATATCAAAGTTTAGCAGTAACAGTACAAGTACGTTCATGTGCATTTGTACTGAGTAGTTGTTATGTGATAATTCAATGCATATTTATAGATGTCACGCAGTTTTGTGTAAAAAAACTTCTGAACCAAATGCAATCACCTTGAAACTGCACGAATTTCTTCAAGCTGCACTTCAGGTAATGTATTCGATTCAGTGCACTGTGGTTTTTGTTTTGAATAGTTCGTTCCATTTCTCGTTTATATCAACTTAGGTATGCGAGCGAAACAAAATTTATGCGGTGCAGACATGGCTTTGATTTTCTTCTCGCATTCTGTACCTCGTTCTATCAAATGGCCATTCGAAAATGAATGATATAATTTTTGCGTTTAAAATCTTCTGGAATATGCAATCTCAGTTTTGAAGTGATTCATTATAAGGAATATTCTGCGTTCAGGAGTATCGACGTGAGAAACTTTCTATGCAAAACGCGCGATTGAATGCGACCGTCATTGGTAAAGCTGGAACATGTCCGAAAAGGTATTTTAGTTTGTCAATTTTCAAAACACTCCAATCCGACGGCCGATCCTAGTACACATCTGATGACATTTGAAATCGTTTTATTATGCAATGAGAGAGCATCTGCGAATTTTTTGACGAAATAATTTTTACGAAAATGTTTGTTTTATTCAATATCCAAAGTAGTTTTTCGAATTTTCGTAGGGTAACATGGATTCGTTGATTAATAGCATAGTGAATCGTATTTGTGTTGAGTAATTGAATTGA